TATTGTTATTATGTCATCAATTTGTTGTCCTTGACAAATTCGAAACATTGTCAAGGTTTGATTGAGAGTATTAGAGACAATTCTACTCAGAATATGTACTCTTGAATTGTCGCCTATAATAGTTATATAAGATCTCATTAATCCGAAAGATCAAGAAGTATTATGGATCCAAATACAACTTAGTTGAATATATTAGGATTACCTTATGAGTGGTGTCTATGTTTGACCATAATGAGGTGATTAGCATTCTTTGAATAGAATTGTAAGGTTCATTATTGTTTACAATCTCAATGAAAGTGAAGAAATCTTGCTCCTTTATTTTTACTTCCTTCTTTAACATATGAGGATGGAGAGAGTATACTAGCCGATGGTGAGCTTGGCAATACACTGCCTTGATGTTCATTGGGTCCATAACCTTTTCTTCAAGAAGGACAACTTCTTATGGCTATTTTGCTCTTCTTTCATGCCAGCCACTGATGAAGGGCCATATATACAACTTGTGAAAATGGACTTGCCTATGATACTAACTCATTCACTTGCTCCAAGATACATGTACGTTCCTAACACACCATCTTTAGCTTCATCTAGCATGACACTTCCTGATGGTGTTGGTTCGACTCTGGGATACTCACAATATAGTGTGCTCCTGACTTTACTTTCCCACAATACAACACACTTAGTATGTGTTTGGATAAAAGTTGAGTTCAACTTAACTCATTTTCACTTCAAAGTAATAACATTGTTGTTTTTACATTTTAAGCTTTAAGAAGTGAAAACACACATTTTAATGTTTTTAAATGGGTAATCAAATGCACCCTTACACAAGGACTTCTTGTTATTGTTTCTTAAGCATGGTTGTTCACTATACGTTTTTTTTAATTTACAAAAATTATATTTAATTTTCTAAAATTATTTTATTTTTATTTTTTTTAGTGTCAATTTAGTTCGATGACCTAATGACATGAGATAGTTAGACAACAAGATAAAAACTTGAACATAATTAAGGACAAGTCAAGTAAACATTAAATATTAAGTGGCTCTACGAATCGAATTAGGTCATGTCAACCTAACTCATTTTATAGGTCTAACCAATACATAAGAAATAGTTAAAATAATTTAAAAGTCATAATATTTAATAATATATTGTTAAAATTTTTAACTAAATGATTATACAATAAAGTAAAATATAATTTACTTGAATAGTTTTGATACATTGTTATTTAAAATAATATATATTTTTTAATATTATCATTCAACCTTGCGATAACACATTTAATAAAGTTGACTATGTTAACTGTTGGGTATCAGAAAGAATGAGCGGAATGCGGAAGCGCCACCTTGGTGCGGCGATTCATGGCACAATACGCCACCAGTCGACCTCACCACACAACCTCAGCCACCTTAGCCAACCTAAGGCAAAATGATGATGAACCCCTGCGAGTTTTCATGGAGCGCTTCTCCAATGTAGCGATCCGGATCCGAAATCTAAACCCGGAAGTTGCCCTGCACGCCATGCTCATGGCACTCAAGCCCGGATCGTTCGTCGACAGCCTATGCCGCGACGCCCCTCGCGACATGGATGAACTGTGTGCCCGCGCCGCCGGGTACATCCAGATGGAGGAACACTCAGCCTTCCGCGACCAAGCACGAGGGAAGAACCTTGCAAAACAAGAACAAGGACACAAAGACAAGGTAAAAGTCAACAATGACAGCCAATTCAAGAAGTCGGCCAAAGCAAATAGGGGCGGGAAGTACGACTTCTACACCCCCCTAACCGCCTCGAAAGTTCACATCTTGGAAGAAGCCAGTAACAACAACCTACTAGCTCTCCCGCCACCCGGCCACACTCCCAACAGTGCCGACAAGACCAAGCACTGCTGGTACCACAGGAACTACGGCCACACCACGGAAGAATGCCGCACGCTCCGAGATTGCATTGAAGAACATGTCCAGGCAGGTCACCTTGGCCAGTATGTCCAACGACAGCAGGGCTCCCGAGGCGGCCGAGGACGGGGGAGAGGCCGCGGATCAGGAGCCCGCACAGACTTACCCATAGGAACCCAACAAAATTCCACTGGCACAGTTTTCAAGCTGAAGTAAGCCAGGAAACGGAGTCAACTCCCCTACGGGGAGTAATCAACACGATCGCGGGCGGCTTCGCCGGAGGAGGCGCCAGCAGCTCAGCCCGGAGGAGACACCTTCGAAGCATCAACTGAGCCCACTCCACCGTCGCGGTCACACACAAAAGCTCGCCTCCAATCTCCTTTTCCGATGAAGACTATGTGGGAATCAGCCCTAGCCAAGATGATCCCATGGTCATCATGGTGGAGATCGCTAACTGGGAAGTCCAAAAGACACTCATAGACCAAGGAAGCTCGGCCGACGTTTTGTACTGGCCAACATTCCTTAAACTCGACGTTCCTCATTCTCTCATCCAGCCACATACAGAGCCTTTGGTCGGTTTCGCCGGTGAGCGGGTCCACACTTGTGGATATGTGGACCTACTTACAACCTTCGGAACACCCCCGGACACAAGAAGGGTCATGGTTCGATACCTCCTTGTAGAAGCCAATACCTCCTATAATATCATAATTGGGAGGCCAACCTTGAACAAACTCGGAGCAGTGGTATCTACCCCGCATCTCACCATGAAGTTCCTTGGGAATGACGGAAAAATCATCACTGTAAAGGCAAACCAAAAGACGGCTCGACAGTGCTATGCTGAGAGCCTGAAGATCTCCTCGTGCAGCAAGCAAAGCAGGGGGAACCCTCCCACCATAGCTCCCTAGGCCTTATTTAGTAATTTCTTTTCAAATGCAAATAAGATTGTGCACTATTTTCCCACCTCAGCCTCCGACTGAAGAGGGTTTTTAACGAGGCATACAAATTAGATCATTTCTCTCTCATCTCTCATGATGTCTCCCCTCTCTCTCTCTGAACAAATAAAAAATTAATTAATAAAAAAAGAAATGTGTTGGAGAATGAAGTTAATAAGAGAGAAAAAATATTTTATTTTCTTTTACAATTACATGAGGACCTTACTATGTATTAAAAAAATGTTGTTAGATATTGTATAAAATATTTTACATGTTATTTTAAGAAATAAAAAATCTAATTATCATATTTGACTTTCCGTTTAAATACACCATTTTAATAATGTTTTAATAAACTATGATTGTTTTAATTATAGTTATATTTCTAATATTTTATTGTTAAATAAGATTATAATTTATTATTATGCATTCTTTTGTGAGATTCTCAATATCTAAAAATCATGCTAGATTTTAACTATTTTGACTTTAGTTGAATCGGATAAAATTTAATGGAGTCAAAACTCGTTGACAGTTTTTTTCTTAATTTACAAGATTTTAATCAATGTTTTATTTAAAGAAAATCAAATTCCTATCGCTTGAGTCAGTAAACATTAATTTATTATTAAGCATTTAAAGAAATGATCAAGTAATTAAATTTTGTGTGTATTTAAATCTAAAAATAATTAATTTTTAGACGATGCTAACTAGAGTCGTTAAGAAATCAAAAATAAAAAATTCTATTGAAAGATAACAACACACTCTCTCATATAACTTTTTAACAAAAAAGAAAAAGAATTCTACATAAAACACTAATCAACAAGACCCTTAAATTTTTGTTGAATTGATACGAGGATGCACATTTAAGATTTTTTTTTTGTCTCCATTTACACGTGAAAATTGTCCAGTTGTTATGCATATGTACAATTGTTTCTTTTTTACAAATGCACAACCTATCCCTTAACCAATATTATTGTCACCATTATAAAAATAAAACCCCAGCACCATATAGGTTGATTTTCTTAAAATCAAATTCTTCTACAATCATGGGAAAACACATCATAAGGAAACCAAAATCCGTAAGTAATAATCATGGGAAGAAAATGAATCTCCCCTAGCCCAAAAAAAAATACATTAATTTGTGAATCCAAACAAGCAATTAATATTCTTACATCCGGAAAAAAAAGAAAAGAAAAGAAAAGAATAGAGCATCACTTAACAAGAACGTAGTGTATTTGGAGGGGGAGAAAATTAATTAATGTTTGAGCGTTGAATTTTTGATTTAATTTTCTATATACTGCGGAGGAAGACAGTGGTTAAATAGCGCGTAGGATTGGCCTCATGTTCCGAACACCTCAAGGGCCCTACGAATACATTTCTTACCAAACCAAACAAAAGTCACATTGCAGAGTACAGTGCACCCCTCTCTCTCTCTCTCTCTCTTTCTTTCTCCTTTTCTTTTTCTCTCTTTTTATTTATTTTTTTTTTCTTTCTCATCTTGTGTTTCTTTTCTTTCTTTTGTGCGAAACCAGTCAACCATGGACTCGAAATCCCCGAGAACCTACACAGTGAATCTTCTTCCTTCGCCGCGCAACAGCCACAGCTCTAACAGCAGCTGCAGCAGCACCAGCAGCAATGGACTGCACCACACCCAATTCCC